GTGCAAGCCAGGCAGCATCTCAAGTTCTATTGGGCCGGGTTTCCAGAAGCCTGCGCCCAGGATCGCCTGGAATCGGAGGGTGAGAGGGCCCGGGTGCAGGCCTAGGCAGCAACCCGGACCCCACTGGGGCTGGGGTTGCCGCCTGGCCTGCGCCCGGGCCCTCCCGCCCTCCGCAGCGGGGGGCCTGTACCCAGCAGCGACTGCAGAGGGAGAGGCCTGTACCCATGTTCTTTGTTCTGCGTGTCAAAGACCCACAGCCCCAAGCCCCGCCATCAAGGTGCTGGGACTGCTGGGGGTATCAGAGACACAAACCCGCAGGCGCGGCACCCAGCAGACCCAAGGCCTTCATGGCAGCACTAAGGAGCAGCAAGCCGAATGGTAGGAAGCAGCAAGCAGGTGGGCAGTAACGAGGGAGGAGTCCCGGACTGCAAGAGGGCACATGCTGGGCTAAGGAACCCCCACCCATCCCCAGTGCATGAATTTCGTGCACCTGGCCTCTAGTATCTTAATAAAGCTGGGGGAAATCACCTGTCACTTGCCTCCATTTTTGGCAAATCAAATCCTGAGAGTCAGGTTTGCATTTTGTAAGTGAATGCAGTCTTCACACCATTTTGTCTTTTATAAATATTTTAAGGCTCTTTTTTTGTGTTCTCTCAAAGATGTCCTATTGTCCCTAAAAGTGTTGTGTGTTTTTTTTCTATTTTTCTCTATGTTATTTCTGTGACAATTCCTTACTCCAGGCATATTCTTTTGACCTAAGCACCATCTATCCAAACTGCAGCTTCTTTTTTCTTCATAAGGCCTAGAGATATTGCCACGATTTAACCAATTTCAAACTCTGCCCACCCACAACTACACATATACACACATCTTTGCCTCCATTATAATAATGTTCCATATCCCTGAGACTATGAAAATATATATGTGTATATATATATATATATATTCACCTTTATTTATCATTCATCATTTATTTAGCATCTACACTAATAAAAGAGAAACATGCAAATTGGTGTCACTTTGCTACACCCACCAGCCAATCAGAGCGACTATGCAAATTACCCCAACAAAGATGGTGGTTAATTTGCATACACAGGTGTGGAGCGAAGACTAAAGACTGAAGACTGAAGAGGCTTGGCTTCTCTGCTGGGGCCGGACCAAAGGCCTGGGTCCCGGGTGCCAGAGGAAAACCAGTGCCAGCCGCCAGGGGAAGGAAGGCCTATTGCGCGAATCTTCATGCAACGGGCTTCTAGTTTTATTTATAATTCATTATTTGTCATGTCTTTGATATTGCAGATGTAAGAAACTTCAGATAATTTACACTTGAATGACTTTGTTAGCATTTAATTAACATTACATGAAAACATTCTTTTTTAACTGTTAAAATATATTTAATTTATTGGGGTGACATTGGTTGATAAAATTATATAGGTCATTCTATAATACATCGCCTGTATATTGCATTGTGTGTTTGCTACATCAAGTTAAGTCTTCTTTCATCACCATTTATCCCCCCTTTACTCTCTTCTACTTCCTCCCACCTCTTTCCCTCTTATAATCACCATACTGTTGTCTGTGTCTATGTGGTGTGTGTGTGTTTTTTTCTCAATCTCTTCACCTTTTTCACTCAGCCCCACAAACCTCTTCTCTCTGACAGCTATCAGTCTGTTCCCTATATCTATGAATCTGTTTCTATTGTGGTTATCAGTTTATTTTATTCATTCAGTTCTACATATAAGTGAAATCATATGGTACTTGTCTTTCTCTGACTGGCTTATTTCACTTAGTATAATACCTTCCAGGTCCATCCATACTGTTGCAAAAACTAAGAGTTCCTTTTTTTTTTTTTTTTTAACTGCTGAGTTGTATTCCATTCTGTAAATGCACCACAGCTCTTTTATCCACTCATCTACTGATGGATACTTAGGCTGCTTCCAAAATCTTGGCTATTGAAAATAATGCTGCTATGAACATAGGGGTGCATATATTCTTTCAACATAGTGTTCCAGGTTTCTTTGGATATATTCCCAGAAGAGGAATTGATGAGTCATAAAGCAGTTCCATTTTTAATTTTTTTAAAAAATATATTCCATTTACTTTCCACAGAGAGGAAGGGAGAGGGATAGAGAGTCAGAAACATCAATGAGAGAGAAACATTGATCAGCTGCTTCCTGCACACTCCACACTGGGGACGTGCCCGCAACCAAGGTACATGCCCTTGATCGGAATTGAAACTGGGACCCTTCAGTCTGAAGGCTGACGCTCCATCCACTGAGCCTAACAGGCCAGGCCATTTTTAATTTTTTGAGGTAACTGCATACTGTTTTCCACAGTGGCTGTACCAATCTACATTCCTAACAGTGCATGAGGGTTTCCTTTTCTCTATATCCTCACCAACACTTATTGTGCTTTAACTGGGTATCAAACTCACAATCTTGGTATATCAGAACAATGCTCTAACCAATTGAGCTACCTGGCAAGGTCCCAAATACATTTTTTATCAAATATTTTTTTTAATTGAAGGCCATTTCAAACATTTTGTATAGTTTCCTACATTTTTATAGTCTATAATATACCTTTGTTTCTGTATAAAAACCCTTCGCTTTCTCTCTGGATTCTGGGCTCAAAAGCCTCCTCTGAAATTCTTAGGTAAATTCTGACAAACAGACTCAAATGTGGTAAATAGAATTATGAAAATTTTAAATTTTCACCATCCTCATAGCCAAATAAATCTTTCAGATTCTTTGCATATAATAGCCACTTAACATATCTTTGTAGAATAAATCATAAGTCTATATAAATGTCAATATTCTCCTATTGTTAATCTTCATTCTATCAGTAAATAATAATTGAGCTCTAGCCTTTCTGAATTTTCATGTTTAACTATCTCTATTTTTTCCAGATAACTTGACCTTTAGTTTGTCTTCCATGATTTCAGAAGAACTTATCTATTTTTTAAATCTATATATAATGGATTTTGAAAATGGTAACTGAATATTATAATTTTGTTTATAAATAAATATATAATATAATCTGAAGACCAAGAGGGAATTTAAATACTTTTAGTTTTTTTAAAATATCCTTATGTAAATGGAGTTAAGTTCTACTTTCAAGTTATGTGATATACATATAAAATATTTTGCAATGCTTTCACAGTGAAGACACTCAAACAGGTAGCTAGAATCATTAAATGATTGGGTGTATAGAAAAATATACAACCATTTCCTTATTCAACAATTTTTTCAAGTACAGAAAGAGGAAAAGACATTGAGTTGTTGGAAAGTTGATTCATTAAATCATCAGATTTTGTATTACAATCCACATAAAGACACAAAATGCTT